GAATGACCTTAAGCAGCACGACGAGAGTTATTGGACAAACATAAATCAAGACGCTTTCGGTACTCGAACATGAGTGCTTTCCCCTTTCGAGTAATAATTCTGAGGCGACTTTTCCTTCGGCTGATCGATGGATCGTCGCGTTTGCTGTCAGAGATATTTTCTTCCCACTCGTGACCTTCGCACTGATCCTCGAACGGGATCGCTCAATCATAATGTCAGCTTGCTGTTTGAGAAAGGTGGCGGACGTTGTTGCCCGCACCAGCCCCTACAAGATGCAGCATGGCACTCCAGGCAGAAACACATAGATTAGTACGACCTCGCCGTACGCACGGAGAGCGGTTAACGCATAATTCCACCACTTTCGCAATATTCCAGCGAACAGCTGGATAGATAGTAGCGTTGACGATATATCCATAACCTCGGCACACACTATGCATATTCTACAATTTCAATTTTCTTCTGTTTTATCTAAAGAAATGTTGTCTTTGAATCCTAAATGCTACACATTATCGCTTGAAGGCTTCTTTGTAGGGTTGCAAAGTTGGGAGGTCCTGCTTCAGAGCTTAGTGTATGATTGTGATGAAGGTTACGCAGCCTCATACCAGGCACGCCAAATGTAGTCTATGCATTCTCACAGCGGTTTAATGTTCCTGGTACTTTGGTTAGACTAAAATAGACTTGATGCAAAGTGCCTCATCGCTGCGCCGTACTTTATCATAAAATTCAATAATGTATCATCGTGGCTGTGCGCTTCTTTGATTTTTTTCTGTGCCCCTCGTATCCTCCCACGCTGTACAATATGTCAAGGGAATCGTCAGGCTAATATTATCTGGAAGAGAATAACGACGCATGTTGAAGTAAGGAAAAGCGGGTTATGGAACGTACTCTTGAGGGTAGGTCTCTTGCTTGTGAATCCCAATGGTATGGTGTTTTGTGGCATGACGATTTAAGAATTTGTCCAAGTTGCGCAGCATTCGAGTAAGTCATGGGCGGCGAACACCGGGTTTGGCGATTCCACAGCCGCCTTAGCTGTATACCTTTTGCCTATAATACAAGTTGAACAAACCTCATACTAGGCTGATTCCCTCAATCACTAGCCAGTAACAATTCCAGTACCAGAAGCAAGAAGAGACAGTATCAAAAACCGACTTAGTTACCCTTCAAGCCGATCCTTCTCTACACGCATACAGCTTACACTATGATAGTAGCTTGGCGGGTTACGATAGTAACTACCTAGCTCGTTGCCTAGGTCGTCCACCTGTAAAACGGCGGTCGGAAAAGAATTGGCCTTAGGGCTGGACCGGATTCGGGGGTTCATGACGAAGTTGAGACGACAAAGGCATGTGATATTTATAGGCCGTCGTTTATGTGTCTCCTGGTTTTATCCAATACCTTACTCTTTGGACGCTGTTTTTGCCTGGACGATCAATTTTTATACTGAAAAGCGGACGAGCGGCCAAGTTACTAATGATTAACCTATCTTTAAAATCAAGGGATCATAGCTTGGTGGGCCGGTACTTCAGCCAACGCCTACGACAGCATTAGGCAAAAGGTGCCGACCCCTCAGGACACGAAAGGGAGTTCATAACTTTGCAGCCACTTTGAGTTCAATTAGCTCTTTCAATATATGTTGGTATCCCGATTCGAAGATTGTTATATATTGCATTGATTATGTTCCATGGGGGTTAGGACGGACACATGCCCACGTCGCATGTCACACAAAATTGATAATTGATGAGCTTAACGTAGAATGAGTTTTTAAGTTCTCTAGGCAAATTCGCATTCTATATATTAAAAGCATGCTCCGGATACGCTTCGTAATTAGCTAAGCCTGTTGCAATGGAATAATTATCACAAAGCCGAATATATACTTAATACAATGTTTGGCCCAATTATTCGACTTCCAGTGACAATATATTTTATTCACATCCAATAAGCATATGACCCCTGTTTCTGAATGAATCCATCTGCTCCTGTGTGCTCACAAATATACATTGTCACTCCAATCGTGTAGCCACACAGTGACAAAGATAAATCTACGCGGGCCTATTTTTGACTCGAGAATAATGCACTTGTACAGGAAACCTGTGCCGAAGTATAAGACATCGGCTGACCGTATGAACGTCACTATTCCAAACGGCGGGTACAATACGATCTTACGGAGTGGCGTCGTCGCCAACGTGACGGCTTCCCCTCTGTGCTTGTGTGGTGTCAAGATGAACACCATCAACAGGCGGTGTTCACCTTATGGATGGAATAGCGAATATCAAATCGTACCATCAAATTACAAGTCGAAAAACATTTACTTATTGCAAATATGTATCTGTTCTAAAAGATATAAATCTCTCAAAGAAAAACTAACAATATACTAAAATACTGGTTTTACACTTACTTTGGACCTGAAGCCGTGGTAAATTATACAAGAGTCGCTTGAATCGGCTGGAGTTCATAGCTCGTAGAGTTCTTAGCGATGAAATTGTAAATTCAAAACGACAACAGGGTTTTTCAGGAAATCCCGTTGGACCCCGAAAGCTAGAATTCCAAGCATTCCACAATGTTCTAGGAGCCATTCATTAAAATATTCGATCGGGTTGTGTATATATATATATATATACATATATACACACAGTTTATTATTACAGGTGTTATCAGAGAGTGAAAATGAAACTAGTCAACTGATTTCTTACATACTGCTAAATTTTCCTTACTACACTGGAGCGTTTTTCCACCTATACTAATTTGTTAACTTGAGATAGGCTAGCTAGTATGTATGCAATAGCTGCTTTCTTTATAAAAAAACTAAAACTAATGCAGTCTTTGTGGTACCGCAGTTTAAATACATATCTCGTTTTCTACACCATCGAAATATCGAAGCGACTTCATTGCAAAACTCGATTAGACCACAATATTAAAACCTTCCTTGAAACATGAATATTTTATGTTACTCTCTGCAATGGCTTGCTATAGAAAAGAGTCGATGTTGAGTTGTTGTCATATCTATAAGCGCACAACAGTCGGAAATATTCGTCCTTGTACACCCTTGTATTAAGTACAGCCATTTGGCAGCTCGATTTTAAACACTTAAGTAGTAGCACAACGTTTTCCATTTACTTTTAATTCTTGGCCTTACTATAACTGTAAAATCCTATGAAATTCATGTACAAGCTCTATATTTCTATAAAATCCAAATAATTTTAACTTAATTAGATAAAATGTGCGATATATTTCTCAACGAGAACTTCAAACATCAGTAAAGTGTGAATCATAAATTTTACAACCGATAGAGAAATTAGAATTATCATCATAAAATTTGTCATATAGGATTATCTCCTAGCTATCAATGCAGCTAGAACCATATGAATTGTGACAGTGACTCAGCAGCACCCTTATTTTTCAACGCCGTGTTCCAGATCCACGTTTATTACACGTACAGTCAGTTTTTATCATATCAGAATATAATATATAGGAATATTGGACCGAGAGGACTTTATCAACAAAATGTTCGCTTTACAAAACATTAAGGAAATTTTAGGGCCAAAGAACCCAAACGGTTCGATACAACTAACTTTTGCTTGTGTCATTCGTTACAGAATTAGTTCGAACGTGTTCAGTGATCGTTACCGCGCGATACCCTGCGTTGGTTATGCAAAAGTGTAAATTAAAGCTGCACAAGTTACAGTATTCCTCAATTACTATTACAACTCATAAAATATTATGGTTTTTTTTTTGGCATTTATCCATGGTTTATTCATATTGCTTCGAATTGGGTATTTGAAATCAGTTTCGGTCGATAAGCAGCTCCACTAAGTAAATTTTATATGAACTGACAGCAGTAACAATTGCCTCAGACTAACAACAGAGCCCCACGGCGAGATCCCAACGTTGTGCTCATATTATAATCACTAGCCGCTAACGCAGGTCTTTCCATGTAAACACCTATCCTATGCCGACAACACCCTCTACCCTGGACAACATATAGATTCGCTGCTTCGGTTTTCATACGGTTTCTTTGCTATATATATATATATATATATATATATATATATAAACACTTTTCTTCGCTAGCGACAATTACCTTTAATGTTGCGAATGAATGTGTCGTAGTCGTTCGCACATATGGGCAAGTTTCAAAAAAATTCAACAGAGTTCATTATTGTTAGGTTCGGTAAGTTTCCAAAGAGGTACGACTAGAGGGTTCTCTTTAAAATTACTATTTAGATAATATTGACCCCTAAAAAGCAGAATTAGGTTGAGCTTTGCTCTTTATATGTAAAGATCAGACTCTATAAACACAGCGCATGGCAAAAGTCTCTTGCTAGTTTTAGAACGTCACATAAAAGATTAAGTGCATCATATATATATATATATATATATACAATATATACAATAATTTATACACAATACATAATATACAGTATATATACAATACAAAGAAACCCTCGGGACTGTCAAGAGACCTCTGCCTTACCCTGTATATAATATCAGGCCACAATTTTTCATCACACGGAATGAAATATTTTTCTACAGCGTGACCATTATTTGATTACCTATGCGAATCACTATTTCAACAATAAATCGTTTTATGGAGTAAGCGTGAAAACCGCGGCTGATGACAAAAACGGAATATTGTGCGTAGAATGGGAATCAGTCGCTTTTTTTTTTTGGCCTATTTATGTTTCGCCTCGAAGCACGAGCTGAATATACATTATTTTAATTACCCGAAAAGCTGCACCTACTCATAGCCTAACTAGTTTTTCCGCTTCGAAAAAGCTTATCAAGAAACACAAATTACCCATATGCTGGTAATTAAATGAGAATATAGTTAATAATAATGGTGGTCCATGTTTGTAGAATACTTTTCATTTGTAGCAGATCCGTTAGCCCAGATAGAGGTCCATATCCAAAAGAACAAATCTACAAAATCGAAAAGGTTGGTCTCCCAAAATCATAAGCATCTAGGTTCGTTTTACACATCACAAAAAAAATTAAAGCAAATGAAGACATGTTTACTTTGGATCACCTTTATTTCTATAAGAAAATAATACAGCATTTACCATTACTCGTGTAGCCATATCGAAGTAGATAGCATTTGGAATAGTGTAAAAGCTATTCGCTTAACTAAGTTCAATCAGATATCCGTCAAGCAACGAATTTGCAACGTAATCTAGATTTCGAAATTAAATTATAGATATAAATAGACTCATATCCGATCTATTGCTGTAAGTTTGATAGCCTAAACGTTTTCCTATTAGACGCTGTTTCTATCGCCTCTTTGTTGTGTATCCGACTCAGTCCACTAAGCAGAAGCAGAAAACATACTGCTTTAAAAATGAATAAAAAAAATAAAAAAGCATGACGACCAGCTGATATTTTATATCGAGTTTTTTTTTTTTATCAAATTAGAGGCTGTATTTCAAGTTAAGCGTCTTGTAGAGGAAGCATATGACATCGACAAGCTCTGCAATAACTTTGGAGGTTGGCTTGCCCGAGCCATGTCCCGCTTTTGTATCAATGAGCGCCAGCAGCGGGTTCTTATTTTTGTCGCCTAAACGATGCTGAACTTCGGCGATGTATTTTAATGAGTGGGACGGTACTACTCGGTCATCATGGTCGCCTGTCAACACCAGAAGACTTGGAAAGTTATCAATATTTTGTGGCACGTTGTGTAGAGGTGAGTAAGTTGCCTGCACACTAAAGTCGGATGCTACATCTGGGCATCCATAGTCCGAGCACCAGGCGCTGCCAACTGTGAATTTATGGAAACGGTACATATCTGTGACGGGTACCAGAGCAACAGCGGCGCCGAAGAGTTCTGGCCGTTGGTTAATGCAAGCGGTGGTAACCATACCACCGTTGGATCCACCCATCAAAGCAATCCGGTTAGCTGTTGTATACCCATTATCAGCGAGGAATTTTGCCGCAGCATGCACATCATCTAGGGTATTTTGTTTGTTCTTTAGTCTACCCGAATTATGCCAGACATCACCATACTCACCGCCTCCTCGTACATTGGCGACGGCTACAGTAAAGCCCAGTAGCTTCACGAGCATTAGTCGGAAGGGCGAAAACGAAGGCTGGACAGAAATATTAAACCCTCCGTAAACGTAAAGGAGGCATGGAGCAGTACTATCAAGTGAAGCATCCTTCTGTCGAATAATGAACATCGGCACCTTCGTAGAGTCCTTACTTTCATAGAAGATTTGCTTCACAGTAAGATCGTCGGTTGTTACTCCATCAAGCTGAATTCGTTGATACTCTTCCAACGTGGCGTTAGGCGCCTTATCAATTTCGCAACGATAAATCGTTCCAGGCGTCAAAAATGAGACGAAATTAAAAAACAGCTCCGAGTCATTACGTTCGCCGGTCATAGCTCCAATCGTGCCAATATCGAATGGAAGAGTTTGCATGTATTTGCCGGTTTGAAGATGGTGGATATTAATAACGTTGGCAACATCTTTCAAATAAGCCAGAATCAGCTTGTCTCCATTAGCACATTGTGACCATTCAAGTACGTTTTGCTTGTCTTCAGGTACTACGTCGATCCACTCTTCCGGGTTCTTCAGATCAAACTTGATGATACCGTAATTGGGTCGGTCTTTGTTTGTGTGGAAATAGAAGGTTTCGCCGTCGTTTGCCAAGTAGTTAAGTTGACAATCAAATTTTCCGTAAACGCACTTTAGCTCAAGAGGCCCGTTTATACCTTGAGAAATGTCGGAAACATAAATCATCGTATCTTTACAACCCTCCATTACGGTTAGGACGAGATACTTGCCGCAGTCCGACACTTCCGTCACCATCCTCCAATTTGGTTCTTTGACAAACTCAGCGACCAGTATATCCTGCTCCTGAGGTGTATTCAGCTTATGATAGAATATTTTCTGGTTTGTAGCAGCTTTAGCTTCAGTTCCGCTCACTTTACCTGCAATATATTATATAAATAGCAGAATCTTTTATGGACATCTACCTGATATTTGTATTCAAGTCAGTAGTTCTTTGAGTAATCGCAACACACAGACTTACAAATTTTATTACTAATCAAATTATGATTTCCCAAATATCTAAAGCCAGATTTCATTCGTACTTTATACTAATAATATGTGGTTTTGAAATATCGGTGTAGTTCTGATGTGAAGTCCTAAGAACGGTGCTGTTACTGCAACGGTGCACATGAGTGTACCCACCCTGAGAGTTTCGATTGCATCCTTTCCAAGTTTTCAAATGTATGAGAAAATGGGCCTACGACACTTCACTATCTAAGGTAATGTTTTTTTTTTTCTATTTAAATGTAGAGTTAGAGCATTTTTTAGGAATACACCGAAAAATCGCATTACATAGAAGACTTCACAATATCTGTATTATATGAATAGTAAAATTTTGGTCAGACAATTCTATTCAGATTAGGAAACTTTACGACATGGATCACGGCGCCGTTCAATACGTAGCTAGAGTCAAAACATCGGACAGATAATACATCGAGACCAATACCATCGTGTTATTTCATCGGAACTACTCTGACCTGCTTTTTTCAATTTTCCCGTCGTATTTCTGTCTGCTACAGACATAATTCTTCAGCTCATTAGCAAACATGCGACCCCCAAAGAAGAGCCGAGAAGAACTAAAACAAATAGCATGGGACTCGGGCGCAGGGTTGGTCAGTATCAAATTTATTTGCCTTTTTCTATACTAAGTATCTATTCATTTCACAAATAGATAGAACGCCATGTCAATATAAACGTGCTTAGTAATACTTTTACATGCAAATGAATAATCTGTTCCTAATTAGCACTTCTAGATAGAAACCTACCGGTCCAATCAGCGTATTGTCCGTAGAAGAGACCCTTCTCATCCTTGGTCCATGATACGTTCGAATATCGAAACCTTTCCAGCTTCTCCGGTAAGTCTTTCTTCGTTTTGCAGTCCTTGATGTATAACGTCGACCAGTCCGATCCTGACTCAGAAAGGCCATAGCAATAGTAAGTGCCTTTTTCCGAAAACTTGCTCACAGTCAACGCGACGCTGCCGTCTTCAGATAGCAGGTTAGGATCGAGGAATATTTCCGGTGATCCATTCAGTCCCTGTTTGCGATACAGCACGTATTGGTTCTGCAAGCCATCATTTTTGCGGTAGTAATAGTGCTCGCCTTTTCTTGATGGCGCAGTGTACTTCGGATAATTCCACAGTTCGGTAAGTCTTCCTTTGATCTGTTCTCGATATGGGCATTCTTCAATAATTCTTTTTGAGATAGCATTCTGAGCGCTGACAAACGCTTTTGTCTCTTCCGCATCAGGATCTTCCATCCATCGGTAAGGATCTTCTACCTGGAATAGTACATTTTAGTTAAATGAGTCGATTTCGATACATTTACGCCTCGGAACGCCGTGCTAAGTACAGTAGTTTACAGTAGATTATCATAGAACGTCATAAGCATCAATAAGCTAGAACAATCATACGGAATTTAATTAAATGCCTAAATGTTACGACATTGCAAACTATGTCTTGGTTGTTGGACCGTAATATATACATCAGTCTCAAACGTAATAATTCCTAAATTAAATCACGCTTGATATACTAATATAGTTTATAATAGAACAAAAAAGCACATGTACTACCACCTGGGCACGTAATCAGAAACAACTGTTACACACAATTCTAGCACCTTAGTCCGCTTGCGCTTATCGATTTATTTTTTCATTTATGCACTTAGATAACGTTCTTCTCGCATCGTTCTTTACCCCGCTCGCTTTCAAATGACTATAGCATATATGCACTTCCATACTAGATTATAATCATACCAAAATCGAATCTAACAGATTCTTTATATTCCACCACACGAGTGTTTTAGAACTTGCTTTCACTTGAGCTGAATCAACCGGAGTCTACTGAGTTTATTTTTATGGAAGTTGCCTAGTAGAAGGTACAATCACATGGTCAGGCGAAATGCGATAGCAAACAAATCTATAATACTAATATGCTGATAGTACCGTCAGGATTGTAACAGTTTAGAAACTAGCTGAGGCAGCTCGGTGCAGCAATGCGTTTCATAGTATTGGTTGAAAATTTACTGCAGCAACGCAAGTCTTCAGAAGGATGCGTGACGATCATTGCCGATTCGGCGGTTTGCCAAGATGACAGTACGACTCACATAGTTGTACATTAATTATGCACCAATTTTGCGAGTATACGTTTGCTTATTATTCCTGAATCACCCATACTTAGTCGCTAAAAGAATACGCTAATTAATCTTCTCGTGGGATTAAGAGGCGACCATCCAAAAACAGCCAATTTTAGAGGCTCACACAAATAATAGAAGCGCGGTTGTCGGAGGAAAAGCCTATTTTATTCTAGAAACTGATGCGTAAGTGCCCTTTTACGGTGTCCAACTTTCTGAATATAAAAATACAGTTTGGAACGGAAATAGTCTACGTTGCGGTAACGTTGTCCTGTTGCTGAATCCTATACGAGCAGGAAAACGAACCTAATCTTTGAAAGGCCAAATATGATAAAGCGATAGGCCTTGAAGTACATGCTGTCGGCAATGTGCATAAGAGCTCCGAATTCGATTTACCCGTGTGAAACCACTGTTATCTTACTCTTCCCAACGCTTGATTCATTATTTCAGAAAATCCTAGTTTTCCTCGCAGTGCCCACTGATTAAGATGCTATATATTATATAAAATAATCAGAAAAAACTACTTGCACACTAGCGTGTATGATCATATAATGGCCAGATTTGTATCAATTACGCGAAGCACTACGTTACATTTGTAAGATGTAAACGCAGCTCACACACACAATAGTTACAACGAATAACAAAACCGATTTTTCGACCCTTCAGCTAACTAAATAATGTTTACATATATTTTCTTTGTTAACACTGGGTTCCCTGAATGACAGGAACGAAGCTATTAGAATCAGTTTTGTTTAGACTTCGGTGCTGCTAAAGTTCGCTATTCACAAAGTATCACTATGAATTGGCTATACGTTTGGCGCATGTTCTTTGCCAATGTTTTCTTAATACGTCTTTAGAGTTACCCTGCAATGATTTCAAGCTGATTCTCAGCTACCCCTCTTATGGAAGTCTTACGGGTATCACCCTCAACTACTACTACTACTACTACTTCAAACACAGCCGAATTTTTCTAGGATTTCCTCAGCGTACTTATGAGACCGCAAGCTGGCCGTATCGGATTTTATATTCGGTACCGCCGTCCACGCCTCAATTCGAACTCAGGCCACAACGTGTCCTTAAGTATGCTTGATACTACTATATATATCATTGATTAACTTGTTCCTATTTGCGTAACTGCTTACTGTAAAGCATTAAAAAAGGCGTATTAACTACTCATATTATACCGCCCCGAACAATAAAGCACTGTCTTATGATTTCTTTTGTATCCACTTTGCGGCTCAAAGCACCCCTTTACCAAGTTGACTGTAATGCTCTTACTAATAGCCGATTCACAGTGTTGTGATAATGCGTCAAAAAGGTGTGATAAAAAAGATTCGACGCAGTGTCGTGGACAGCTCCGTTACACGTACTATAAATAGTTTTACGTGTAAACTAACGCTTCGCGTACCAAAGGGACTGAGTCACTACCGAAATATAAGCAACAATGTAGCCCATAGTGACTATTAGTGCATAAGCGTCAACTGTTCTGAATTTTCAGGCACTATACCTAGCAGAAAGGCGGGAAAGGTTTACATAGGATTAAAAAACGAGCTTAACTAGCCCAACAGTCAAGATAAGTGGTTTCAGAAATGCGCATTGGCAGATGTGTTGAAACTGCAAACACAAATGTTAAAAAATAGGATGTAGTTGAAGACGCAGACACCAATGAGCAAGCCATTGAGAAAAACAAATCAAGTTTCGAGATTCTCTATTTTTTTTAGGGTTCCGCACCCGAATAGAAATCAAGTTAGTAAGGTAAAAGCTTTAGACAAATTTGTGGAAAGAACACCACGAGCCGCTGAAGCATGCAATTTAGTCATTGAGCAAACATGATAACAAAATTAGTAACAGTCATAAGTCAGAAGAACTTTACTTCGTAACAATAATAAGCACCTTTAAAAAACAGGTTGACAGATGAGAAAATGCTCCGGAACAGCATTCAGTTGCTATAATTAGGCTGACACAGGTCACCAGTTCAATGAATTACGTCAATGTCAGATAGTGTTCGCCTGTTCATAAGCTCACCAATTAAGTACTCTAACAGCTATGAAGCATCGTGATCGCAAATGGCTTGCAAGTCTGGGTGCTTCACAATGCAATATCGAGAGACAAACCAGGTACTAACTGTTGTTCCAACTATCTGAAGTAATGCTTAATAAAACTACCAACATGTATATTGCTATTCATTGTTGAGTAACTCATGCTTGCAATAGTCGATTCAGGATCAAGCACAGCAAGAACAAGAAGCTCCAATTATGGGCTGCATGCTGTCCACATCCAATAACAAAAAAAAAATCCACTGTCGCGGTTATTGGCAACTTCGCCAGTGGTGGGCACATTGTGCAATACGTTAGTAACAGTGAATTGGTATAGAATCATATTATAAGCACTTCTCTCTCTAGAATCATAGAGCAGTATTTCTTGAACTGCTGTGGAAGTGAAAACACCGACTGAGACGTGTGGCGCATTAGTTATTCACTACAGCATGAATGAACCCAATTTAGTTTCCTGACTCGGCCCTCCTCCGTTCAGTTGAGAGACATAGATTATTCAAGATGCATAAAAATTATCGTTACTTTCATCTTTTTGATGGAAACGACGTTATTCATCCCTGATCACCAATGATTTTGTGACTTCAGAAGACCTCGTTATATGATTGTAAAAGATCTCACGGAAGAACAACGAATAATATTCAGACTCAGACGAGCAACTACTGAGTGTGTCGAAATGCGCAGTTAACAATGCAACCAGAAGTTGTTTCTGTTAGCAAGACGAAGAGAAAACAACAATCAAAAATAGTGCACAATCCAGCGGAAAGTCAAAATCATTCTGACTAAGCTACAAACAATCGGTCCATTTGCAACAGCTTCTAAAATGCGCCGAAAAGTGGGGTGTTAGAGCACGGATTCGCTGTGACTATAAGGGCGCTCCGACATTTTTTTTAAAATGGGTTTAGCTGACATAAATCAAACAACCTAAGCTTAACTATGCATAGAAACATACAAGTTTAGATGGGATAAGTAATTTTAACTGATTTTTTTTATAAATAAAATTTTGAGTAATTATACTTAGAACGCTTACAGGTGATTCGGCGAAAACATTGTAGGTTAAACATTCCAAGTAAGATAATGGTGTACACTGTGGTTTCTATTTATGGTGTAGAAGCCTATGTTTCAATGGTAAAAGTACTTCTGAAATCGAGGCCTAAACATCTAACCGTGCTGAATAGTTGCCAACTAATATAATTATATACGTTGGCAATTTCTTGCGTGTAATTTATATAACACACAAGAAAAGAGCAAAGCTAAAGTTAGATAAAAGTTAAGTAGAACCTAAAGGCATACCTGTGTGCATGTAAAGTAGCCAATGACTATTTTCTGAAATAGCTCTAACAGAAAAATCTAACGGATGATTGCACTTATAGTTGAATCCCATAAGCTTGAACTGAGCCGCTAAAACAGAACGCCACTCGATAAACGACTTATACTCGACAATTACGTGATCATAATCAGCTGCTCAAGCGTTCTACGACCTCGACGTCTGCTAAACTTCGTTATTAGAAATGGGCAAACCTCGCCCGACCCGGTTCATCACCCCATGTGGCGACTCAGGTAACTGAGGATGTCTTACGGCATACCGTCTGCCTCTGGCAAATTTCAATGGCAAACGCACTAATTATTCGTAGATCTGACCCCATTTGTATTTTTTTGGTCTTTGCATGAAAGGTATCACAAGCGTCTAAGGGGGTTAAATAGAAACATAGATATTCCTGAGCAGGTCTGTGAAGTATATGGGACATCTATATCATACCGACTGACGACATTTCGTACCTAATCCGAAATGAATCTGTTAAACAGAAAATAACGTAACATTACTTAAAAACACTACAATTATTTTTCGCTATAAGTGTGCGTACAGTTAGTTTTATAGATCTCCACTTAGACGAAATAGCGCTACTGTGAATTGCTCAAAAAGAATGATGTCATTAGTCGTTGAGAAATAAAGCCGTAGTTAGTAATTTTAACTCGTTTTTTTTTGCGCAACGAGATTATATAACTTGGCTAGTCCAGTAAAGCTTTGCATGGGGTTACGCACTCACGACCAGTTGCGCACACCATTCACGTGTTACCCATGTGGCAGAATGTATTATAGAAAAAGCAGAAAAACCTATTGAAATCGGTAATCAAGTAATCGTGAAATGACTATTAGGCCTGAAACAATTTTCTCATCAGAGACATACACATTACACTACAGACTACAAGCACACATAATGGATCGGGTTTGAACTACGAAACGGTGCACGCCGAGTTAAAGCAATGGTACGGCGACTGAGACCTTAAGTTACTTGAAACGAGGAAGTGCCAAAAACATCAATGAGGTCTGGAGGTAAAGCACTGTTGTACTTCTATCCTTATAAACACGATTATACGAAGCTTGATATTAGTGGTTTGTAATAAAAGAGATCAGATAATGCTTGGAGAAACACCGCTAAAGGGTCCAAAGACCTAGAATTTTACAGTGCGGAGAACATTGAATTTCGCAGTTATACTGTTAGTTCGTGGTCGAGAAGAAGGCCAAAGACGATCCGAAAGGATTGTTAATTGAAAAGTATGGGCAAAATTTTCCATTAACTTTATGTTAAAACCTAGTCACTGAATGAATAAAAACAATAGTTATGCATCACTTTTGATTTATGTGTTTATGGAAGTCTTATGTGTTTTAAATGTTAATGAATTATAACATTATATGAGTAAAAAGTGTTGCAGTATAACAAACTAATGATAAAAAATGAAAAAAAGAGGATGCAGCTTTTATGCAATACTCTTTTATCAAGACTATCGTAATGCACTGATTAAAAGCCTACCCACGTCGACACTGTTATAGTAACAATGAATATTCAATTTGCTCCTGCAAATGTTTCATGAATCTATCTTCCACGCAATGATGTGTTACGCTAGGTAACACTAACTTCAAAACGGGTGGCTTTTTATGCGTGATAAGCGCATTTGCTATATCTAAGCAGATTTTCAAGTAAAGACGCTGGGTGCGGCGTTATTGATTCGCTGTAGACAACGTCAGCAGCCCTCTACTTCGTGCTAGGAATGACTGTCGTACTCACCTGAAATTCCCTGTAAAATAATTGCATAACCGCTAGCCTTCGACAGCACTACTTCAAAATACTTAATTCAAGTTTGTAAATGACTTGAAAGCCGTCACCTATAAGGTGAAGTGACTGCTAATGACGATTCCATACCATTTGTTCATGGAGCTCATCTCTGACATTGGCACGCCTCGGTTTCGGATATTCAATGCCAGGCATTCTGGCCAACCAGGAATTGCACCGCCACTGAGTAGAAATACACGATAACCGAGGACAAGCTGCTTCTAATGACGATAAACTTATACGTCTTGAATAATTCAGAAGAAAGGACTTCGCTCTGTAACAGAGCGTTCGATACAAAAGAATCTGCATCCGACGACGCTCAACAGGCGCTAGCGGCTGGTTCAGAATATAGCGCCTTCTTCGCATAAAGCACGCTCAAAACAGCTTATGAACGTGTGGTAGCCCCAGACTAGAGGCATACACAGAGCCACACATTGCTTAGAGATGAAGGAAAGCAGACGAATACTACGCGCCCGCCCGGCTAACGGATGGTGCAATTCACGAACAGACTGATAAAGCTGGTGGCGGAAGTTAGCCATAGCAAAAATATACACGGTTCCACACAACGTGGGACACTATTAATATATTTTATTTTTATCTGAAATATTCTGAAACGTACACTCGGATGTTCAGGGGGATCAGGCAAATCGTATAGCGTTAATAGTGCGGGAAGCGAGTCATTGCCTTACTCAACATGAGTCCCAAGCTTGTTCTTATAAAAATGCGACATCTAAAATACTTTGCTTCTTAAGCTTAGCTAGTCGACATACCCAAAATTATCGGAGCCGTTTATTATATATGTATTCACACGTAAATATAAATTAAACTATTTTTAAGTTATGTAGCATTAGGCACCACAGCTTCTGTACGTATGCACATATTCGCTGATAGTATTGGACACTATAGGCTACTCTAGGTGGTCGAAACAAGACGGATCATATATTGTGCCCTCATAGTTTCGAAACGTTTTGTTTAAATTCAGACATTAGTAGATTTTAATACTTCAAAAGACAAAACCGTTTTGAAGTTTATAAATCCTAATACTGACCAATTAGGCATAGATGTAATCGCTTGCATAGCAAATTCTCTAGTTAGAGGATTCCAAGAACTGTTGATTCAAGTTCCGCCAATGATTCATACTGCGCAGCCTGTGAATAAAAGTTGTTTCTTATATTAAGCAATTCTTTTGTTTTCACATTCAAACACTCAGCAAAAATCGCGCGTGGCTTTTGGCGAATACAGACGATAGGGTAGGTTCCAACCCAACAGATGATTGTCTGTTTACAAACAAGGAACACGCGAGCAGCTGCTGGCCGGGCATCGAACAAAGTTAGAGAATTTAGATTTTATCGCATTTAACCCGAGTTAAAAAAAGGCAGTTTTTCTAGAATTTACTCTAATAACATCCGTTGCAATGATCATTGATAATATCTCATATTACGAGATGCTATACTCATTGAAACTGCTGTATGTCGCATAGTGCAACGCCTATGTTCTATAGTGAATTTAGATCATTTGATTCTGTTAATAAGCAACGGTGCAAAAAATATGAAGCCCGCCGTACGGCTCGTTTGCTTAGGTAGAATGCCCTACTTGGATGCCCTAAAAGTTCAACACGACGTGGCTACCAAAATTAAAATACAACAGAAAAAAGGCGCCAATCCAGAAAATACTCTTATTTTAGTTGAACACACACCCGTTTACACAGTTGGAATTAGAATTAAGAATTATGGAGTTTCAGAAGAAGATCGACTTAAAAAACTGGGTCAGTACCTGCATGACGCCAATAAAACTTATTCAAGATTCATACACTTTCTCAAAAATCTACATATATAACCGAAATTGATCAGAAATTTTTGGGAATCGTAGGAAAGCTAAATTACCTAACAATAAGCTATATATATATATATATAGCTATAAAACGAGGGAGATCTCAAGAGAAATTGGACTCTTGTGCGTTTACGTCAAAACATGTAGCTTAAACAAATGCCCTGTACAACCACACTAGAAAGACGCATATGCGACCCTGAAGGTTATAGGCAATTTTAACTAACGGATACAATAGCATTAAAACAAATAAAATAAGAATTTACTATAAGCTGAAGTTTGTCATAAAAAAAAAAGGACTATATAGCTAATCGGCCACCCACTGCATGATCCCCGGTCTCGAATGCTATTCCAGTTATGGCAGCTCCGATTCTCGTACAAATTTATCCCAGGAATTAACGAATTTAAGTGAGAAATTAGCGCAGGATACCTGTGGGTCACATTTTGCAGTCAATACGGACCGCAAAATTTCAAGATGGAATACAAAATCACCCTCGGCTGCCGCCTATCATTGGCAAGAGTTTGCATTAAACTAATTGCTAGCCTCGATACATGGAACTGTAATTGAATCATCACACTGTACCAAGAATACACGACCTATATCGTGTACTATGTAAAAACATTTAATTTTCTGTCTAAACGTGCACTTATTTCCAGGAGCTGATTTTATCCGTTCTGACCGTGGTGGTTTGATAACATTTCATGGACCAGGTCAACTGGTTGTTTATCCTATTTTGCATCTAGCCAGCTTCGCACATCTGCGGAAATCTGTGCGGAATTATGTTTGCCACCTGGAACAGTCCGTAATAGATACCTGCAAAACATTCGGGGTCGAAACAATACGTACTGCAGATACGGGTGTTTGGTTGAAAGAAAGACCACTGAAAATAGCTGCTCTTGGAATACACTGTGCAAGGTGACTCATACAAATCATCTATTCTAATGTAGCTATTTATATTTATGATTTTCAGCGTAACAAAAACAGTGCCTAAAGAAATATAAGAATGTGTTGTAATAAATTATGAACGCAATTGCCAAAATCCTGGGACTCGTTCTACAATAAGAAACTATTTTTCCTAGCAGATTTTTAATGCACGATGTCTGCTAAAGGAATTTCTAACCGTTTCAGATACGTAACCACGCATGGAGCAGCGGTTAACTGCAACACGGACTTGGAGTGGTTTGACCACATTGTGCCATGTGGACTAGAAGGAAAAGGGGTGACGTCACTAAGCCAAGTTCTTAATAGAAATGTAACTATCGAAGAAGTTAAAAAGAACTACGTGCCGATGTTCGAGAAATCGTTCAACTGTCAAGTACGATAAAGTCTGCACTGATGTTAGCACGTAGGTGCGACGTCAAACAACGTTAAAGATTTGAATAAACAATATACTCAAATTACATAAATTCTGGCTTATTTTCGAAGCTGAATTTTTTTCAGCACTATTGACACTTGAGACCTCCCCCAACTCTTGTTGTCATCCACTATAATTCGAATGATGACCTACAGGATATGAGTAAGGCTGGCTATAGAATGTAGACTGTATGTCTTGGATTGCGTTACTGATACTTTTAGTTTAAATTTTTGGCACGGAATTGTACATACTTGTGAGAAGTTTCTTCAGTAGTACTAAAACATATTAATTTGATTACATATTGAAAATAAACATCCTTTTTTCCACTGAAAATCGATCGATATGAATGAGTTTAAATGTGTGACTGGCAATTGCTGAGGTTTTAACCAGAAATGGAAAAATAATTATCTATAAGTGAGTTGAAAATAAGACTAATGGTTTTCGTTAGAAAAGTCAAATGTTATAATAGCACCGTTAAACCTATAGGTCAAATCCCACAAGGATCCGTACAGATTAAAGCGAGCTTTGATTTAATTGACTGGCTAAAAGCAATTTAGCCTAAAAGCTTTCATTATCTTATATTTTCAGGTTCAAAATATTTAAAAGGGTTGAGGGTTGAACGTTGTTATCGTGCCGCAAGTGTAGGATTGAGCATTTTCACTTTACATCTATACCATATATGTGTATAATCTATGTGTAGCATATGTGTTTATCAGGTGAGTTTTGATCTGCTC